GTATTATGCTAAAGTGAAAGGAGCTAGACATAGAAGTCTACATCTAGCAAGGTTCTATTTATACAAGTACCCCAAACAGGTACATCTATAGAGACAGAAGGTAGATTACTGGTTGGCTGGGGTTGAGGGGAGTGGGCAATGAGGAGTAACTGCTAATCGGTACAGCATTTCCTTTTAGGGTGATGAAAATGTTCTGGAATTACATAGTGGTAATGGTTGTACAACATTGTGACTATATCAACAACCATTGAATTGTTCATTTTAGTAGGGTGAATTTTAGGGTAAGGGAATTATGTGCTAATTTTAAAAATACACCTGTGCAAGATATTACAGACATACACAGAAATGAAACTTCCCTGCCGGGTGCAGTGGCTCACACCTGTAATGCCAGCACTTTGGGAAGCCGAGGTGGGCGGATCAGGAGGTCAAGAGATCGAGACCATCCTGGCCAACATGGTGAAAACCAGTCTCTACTAAAAATACAAAAATTAGCTGGGTGTGGTGGCGCATGCCTGTAGTCCCAGGTACTCAGGAGGCTGGGGCAGGAGAATCACTTGAACCCCAGAGGCAGAGGTTGCAGTGAGCCAAGATCATGCCACTGCAATCCAGCCTGGCGACAGAGCGAGGCTCAATCTCAAAAAAAAACCCCAAAAAAACCAAAAAAAAAAAAAAAAAAAACAAACAAAAAAAAGAAATGAAACTTCCCCTCCACTCCTCTCCAATGGTGCTCCTAGTTTTTTCTTACTCTCTATACTAATTTTATTTATACACTGTGTATATTTAGGAAATAAACTAGGACCTTGTGCATACTGTTTTGTGACTGTTTTCACTTAATATGACTTGTTCATGTTTTTTTAATTGGAAGAAAAAATATTAATATGTTCTTCTGGATCCATTCAGGAAAACCAATTTTGACTTGTAGGGAAGGATCTGCCTTGAGCACTGTTACTGGGGACAACACTTCAACCAGGGCCAAAGTAACTCCCCAAAGCAAAAAAAAATTAATATGTTCATTTTTTTTAATTGGAAGAAGACAATTCCCAAACTGACTTAAGAAATATAACAAATCCAGAAGTCATAAATAAAAAGACTTATACCTTGACTACATAAAACGAAACATTTTTTATATGGGAAAAGATACAATAAATAAGGAAGCAGACTAAGGGAATAGCTAAGCAACACTTATGAGAAAGGGTTAATATTCCTAATATTAGGGATTAAGATTCCTACATGTTGACTTAAACAACACAAAAGAAAAATGGGCAAAGAGGTAAACCAGCAATTCACAGCAAACAAAATATAAATGTTCAATACACACAAAACAAGATGTCAGCTTCATTAGTAGTCACCATTTTTGCCATGCAATTGGCAGAAATTAAAAAGACTAGTGACAACTAGTATGGCCAAGAATAGGGAAATTGGACACTCCTAAGTTGCTGAGGGATATGTGAATTGCTACAACATTTTGGGTAGGTCATTAGGCAGTATTTAATGGGGACAACCTTTAACCCATCTATGAAACTAACCCACAAAAATAAAAGCACCACTACTAACAGTATGCTCACAAAATGTTTATTACAGCAATGTCTGTAAGAGGGAAAAACTGGAAACAACTGAAATGTCTGGTGATAAGCGACAGCTGAATGAACCATGATTTACAAGAACCAGAGATACTAGAAAAACATGTTTTGGTCCTATGTGATCAACCTATAGCCATGTACATGGTAGACAGCTATGTGAAAAAAGGAAGCTGCTAACTCTACAGTATAAACGCCATGAAAATAAAACCCAAACCCATAGAGAGGTGGATATATATTTACATATTGTTGTAGAAAAAGAAAAAGCCTGTTAAATTTGGTATGTTTCAAGCTGGGTATGCTGTGTTCTAGAAATTAAAAAAGAACATCATTTTAAAAAGCTGATTATGATAAAAGATAATACTGTGCTAATTTGATCTTTCTTGAAGCTAGGAAACAGTTAAAAAGGGAGAAGCCAATGGTTATGAGATAAGATGGAAGGGCTGTTTAACATGGTATAACTACAACATCTTACAGAATATAAAGTATGTTAACACTTTTCTTTTGATCTAACATTTTGGCTTCTTACTGGGGTGAAGGAAGAGAGACTGGGAAAGTACATGTAAAGTATTAGACTGGTGTCTGGCCGGGGTGGAAACTCCTGTTTTGATTTCTGACTCTGGTGTCTCCTTGGGGTTCACTTGAAAGAAAAGGCACCTGGATCTCATATGAGAGCTGGTCAGGGGAGAATCGGCCTGACAGATGCTGGCTTCTTCTGGATCCATTCAGGAAAACCAATTTTGACTAGTGGGGAAGGATCTGCCTTGAGCACTATTACTGGGGACAACACTTCAACCAGGGTCAAAGTGACTCCCCAAAGCAAGTTACCAACTCCCTGAGCAGCAGTCATGGTGAGTCCCTGAGACAGTTCTTGGAAACCTAACCTCCTTTACCCTAGGAAAATGAAGATGTCAAATTGGGAAAAACCTTAGCTGTACTATGACTATTCTGTCCAAACTGTACCACTGAGAGGGGCTATGATTTCCAAAATGGCATAGAGTTTTGGTAAGTGTCTCTTCCTTCACTGTTCAGGAATGCAGATAGATTCTTTTTTTAAAGGTAAAAATAAAGCAGAGGTATTTCTCAAGGGAAGACTGGTGCTGTTCATGACTATTTTACAGGTTGAATGAGTCCTCCTTTTAATTGAGTTACTATTTTCAGTTCTAAGGTAAACAACTGACAAGGCCCCAACACAAAAGAATACATGTGTTCTTTCTGTGGTCCTGAGTTCCAAGAAGTGACTTTATGATCTTTTTTGGGATATGGAAGGGGGGCAAAAGAAGATGTATCTGAAACTGAAAGTTCTTTGAGCATACACAAATGTCATAAAAACACAACCCTCCCTTCAGCTTAATGGCAAGGCTCCTCTTTTTTTTTTTTTTTTTTTTTTTGAAGACAGGGTCTCACTCTGTCTCCCAGGCTGGAGTGCAGTGGTACAATCTCAGCTCACTGCAACCTCCTCCTCCCGGGCTCAAGTGATCCTCCCACCTCAGCCCCACAAGTATCTGGGACTACAGGCACGAGTCTCTACATCTGGCTATTTTTTCGTATTTTTCGTAGAGACGGGGTTGCCCAGGCTGGTCTCGAACTCCTGAGTTCAAGCGATCTACACGTCTCGGCCTCCCAAAATGTTAGGATTACAGGCGTGAGCCACCACGCTCGGCCCCAGACTCCTCTTAAAGGAGAGACAAAAAACAAAGATTGTAGGCATTTGTCTTTTTCTCCCTACACCAGTTCTTGGTAGGAAGTCATGATGCATATGAGCTGGACGTGGCGACTTGCCTTCTGCATCAGGCATGCTCATAAACAGTCTCAAAACAAAAGGAAAATCTCACAAAAGAGGTCAGAGGGAAAGAATGAGTGAGGAGAGAGAGGACACAACCTTTCACTACTTTCAGGAAAGCTCAATCCTCCCAAGGTCAGGGACATAGATGTGAGCCTGGCTTGGGGCACTGGGTACAAACCACCATCCCAAATCTAAGGGGAGATGGTATATTCAAACGTGAATAGCTCCCATTCAAATTTCCTTTCTAATTTCTTTTAAATTAAATACTTACAGTGTTTCTGTCCTTCTCCATTTCTGCTAGGCAGTTAAGAGAAGGGCAGAAACCAGGCTAGTGAGCAAAGAAGGAAGTGACCACAGGGCATTTCTGCAGTTGGCACAGGGGCCTTTGGAATCTGTTTTCAAAACATGCCCAAACTAAAACCTCATGTGCTTCTCGCCAATCTTGCAGAGGCTGAATAAACCATATGTGGCTCTGTGAAAAGCCAATTCACCCCATATGGCATTTTTGCTGTCTGGTTGGGTTAACATCTCTGCCTTACAGAGGCTGATAACATCCAGAGAACACAGACAGGTACCAAGGTCACTGGCCTCAGGAGGACCACGATTCATTTCTTTCTGTGTTTTTGGGATACACAGCTCTGAGAAAGGACTTGTCACTGGGTTTGTTCACTCCTGCTCCTGAGGGGGGTCTGAGACACAGGTAGCAGTCTCAGGTTGTACTTTGTCAGTCAGCAAGACAGTGCAGTGAATGCCAGGTCACAACACAGGCTTTCTCAGGTCTTTCTAGGGAATGCTCATATTATTGGGGAGGTGGGTCCTCTAGGGGGCCTCTTCTTTCCTCTCCTTAGTCTTGTGAGTCTTGCTCATGATGTGGCTGTTGTTGCCCGTTCCCTCTCTCAGCGATGGTAAGACACACATGGAGCCTCTGGACATTTTTCCTATAAAGTACTTTGCTTTCAGGGTGGACAAAACTGCTACTCTACCCCACTGCTACTCAAAATGTCTTCCTAGCATTTGAGGGAGCTTGGGAAATGATCCATTATACATTATGTGTGGTTGGCTAGGGTGCTTCTGTGATGACCCCAGGACTGGGATGGACAGTGAGCCTTCTATCACCTTCACTGTGACAGACATGGGATGGCCCCGGGGTCTTCTGTTGACAAGGAAAATCTAAAAGGTGCTGGGAAAGTGCTGATCTATTTGGTTTCAATCAATCAACCTGGAAAGAGATTCTATATCTTCCTATGTGCTGAAGGGGTGAAGGGCAAGGATGAGGGTGGTGAACATGGCATCCTTTCAAACCAGATGTAGGATGGGGAGAGAGAGAGGAGGAAGGGGGGGTCTGGAGTGCCTCAGAGTATTTCATGCATTAGGTTTCAGCGTTTTTTACTCAGTATCTTGCCTTTGCTTGTTGAGTATTGAGATCCGGATCACATATCAAGTGCCTTTCTAGAACAGAAGTGTTTAATGTGGAAATCACCTTCAGCATCCTGCCTCTGTGGATGGGGGAGGCAGTCTCTCTACTGTCATCTTTAATTTCAGAAAGAATGATCTGGGAGTGATGGAGGGGCAGGGAACAGTCCAGATAAAGGACCTAAAGAGTGGGTCACATGCTTGAATTTATGTGGGTTCCCTACCTCCTGGCCCCTGTCCTGCACAGGACACGACTCACTGTCTGCTTCCGAGAATGATCCAGACTCGTCACTGGAGTTGGTTCCGTAAGACTGCTCACATTTAATTTGGGGCCGCACTTGGTTGTACATTCCATCTCCCATCAGGCCTGGTTCCTGATGTTCTGTGGCAAGGAATCTGGCTCCCTGGGAACAGGGTGAGGAGGAGAACTCACAGAGAGGGAGGCTGCAGGGCGAGCCCCCGCTCCCATCCTCTGCATAGGAATAGGAGGAGCAGGAGCTGGAAGTCCTGGTTCTGGTCTCCAACGGGGGTGAGCGAGGGCAGACTTTGATTGGCACCGGGCAGCTGGTGTTGGGCCTCATCCTTCCTGGCAAGTGGTCGGCCATCAGCCCATGGGAGTAGGCCTGTGAGCTGGGGAGGGACTGGCCAACTCCCACCCACAGACCCTTTGGCACCGGCTCAGAGAGGTCTTTGTCCAAACTGCTCACCCCAGAATACGAATGCACCGAGGTGCTCACTTGGTCACAAGCACTGGAGGAGAAGATCACACTCCTCCGGTCCAGCTCTCCCTCCTGTTTACAGAGAGCCTCCAACCCAGGCCCCCTGAGGGGCGACCCCATGGTGAAGTTGGATACTTCCTTCTGGCCCACGTGGGGCTGTCCATAATTCCCTGTGAAAGGGGTATAGTCAGTTTTAAGGTCACCCTGAGTGATCCCCTTGTCAAAAGGGCACGCTGGACTCCTGGCAAAGTGCTGCTGAGATGTACTGGGCAGTCCAGACAGCTCCACACTTTTTGTTATGCTGAACAGAGACCTCAAGCAGGAGGGTGAGGCCACGCTCCTGGATCGTTCCAGGCAGGCGGCTGCGACTGGGGCCGTAGGGGTAGGGGCAGGGCTGGGCTGTTTCCGGTCCATCTCGACATCCCCCGCTCTGTCCTTCGCATCAGGCTCATCTCCAGACAGGCAGAGCGTGATGCTGTCTTCCTCATTCTCTTCACTGGGCGGCTCACTTTTAATCTGCCCCATGGAAAGACCCGACTTGAGGCTGTTGCTAGAGTTATCTTCCCCGTTTGTGCTTGCAAAACCTGAGGTACTGTGTGATGATGCATTATAGACATTCTTGGTACATGCAAGCTGGTATTTCTTGTATCTGGGGTACTGCATCAATGCGTCCTTTTCTGAGCTCTCCTTGGTGTCTGTGGGCACGTCAGGCTCGGGCAGCAGGGCTTCTTCCTTTTCTGCTACGGGGATGGCAGTGGCCTCAAAGCTGATGGGCTCTGGAAGCATCTGGTCCCTGGGGCAAGCCATTTTGGCTGTCTCTGAATCCATTGTTTCCTCCTCCTCTTCCTCTTCCTCTCCTGCAGAGTTCTCACGGTCCGCGCGGTCTTCATGTGGGCGCTGGCATGCAGCATCCTTCCGGCACACAAACAGGCCATCCTCGCTGTTCAGGAGCTGGGTCTGCAGGAAGCTGAAGCAAGAGTCCTCCAGGTTGTGCATGCGCAGGAACTCAGCACAGCGGATGACCTCACGGATGTTTTCTCTGCTGAGTAACAGCTTGGCAGTGTAGGCAAACTGTAACAGCGGCCCAAAGCCCCTGGCCGTGACCTGCAAAACAAACAGGGAAATCGCCAACATTACCATCAGCACCGCTATTGTCCCGAATCCCTCAACTGAAGCAAGATAACCAGACAGTGCTAATGTCCCGCGATAAAGACTGCAAAGGGGCAGTTAATCTTATAGTACTGGGTCAGCAATGATTCCGCTTCCAATAATTAGTGCCTGTCTCGCGCATGCCACTGTTGTACTCCATCACAGCACAGGCAGAATTGAAAATCATCAGGGTCAAGTGGCTAAACAAGATGACAACGGGTTCAGTGTTTACACTAATGAAATATCCTGGCAAAAATGCACGGTGACAATGGGGAGCCTATTAATTTCCCTCCCAATCAGTCGTGTTGAGAGCCATTCTACATGAGGGGGGAGTGTTGTGATACTTCCTGCAGCTTGCTGGAGCCCAAGAAAGGCTTAACGTTTTCTTGTCAACCACAAAAATGGCAATGTGGCCCTGCTACAAACTAGTCTAAGGAGTCGCAAAAATAGTTTTTCTTCACTTACAATGTTAAAAGAGACATGAAAAACAACTCGTGTTTTGCCCATCCATCATGGTTTCTACTTGGGACTTTTGGTCATCACATCCAACCTAATCTTATAATGATGATGATCCCATCTCACCAGAGATGATGACAATCAAAAGCAATGTGCTCAGGAAGAAATCAACTTCTGGCCCATAATGAATGGGGGTTGCAGAGCTAAACAAACCAGCTGCCATTTAAATGGTTGAAGCTACTGAGTGGCACAGGGTATGGGCCATTCCTTCTCTAATTATTAGCAGCAGCTTTGCCATGCAGCTGTCTTTTTTTTCCTGGTAAATCTTCAGAGGCTAAGCCTACTGTCATTTGCTGCTTATCCATTATATTTCACACAGATTGAAAGTGTGCTATTTATGCACAGCTTGCATATGCACACCAACACGTGTGTGTGTGCATGCATGCCCACTCACACACAACGACTTAGACAATGAAGAATATGTTGCCTAAGGCCAATTGTTTTTTCAGATGGAAATGGATGAAACTTGCTGGTGTTCATCAGGGGAGGCTTCCTTACCCTGAACGTAAAACCACACATCGTCTAGGTTTTGCAAGCACTGCTCACCCCACAGGAAGGTGAGGCAGGTCTTCAAATCCTGTACAAATCAAATGAAAGCAGCAATCATGGGGTCCTTGCTGGAAACTATGGTGGCAGTGATACAAAATTTTAGCTGGGGGAGTGAGTGCACAGCAAGGTGAACCGGCAGGCTTTGTGGCTGACTTCTTTGTGTATTAAACCCACTGCAGCACTCAGAGCCAAAATTCTTACAAGGACCTGTAACTGTTTCAACTTAGACATTCACTCCTTTGGGAGCCCTCTCCATTCCTCTTGGAGAGAATGAATGACAATGTCCTCTCAGCTCCCATAGCCAGATGAGGAAATGACCTGGATTCTCCAGGACAGTACTGATTTCATATCATTGCATTCTTTCCAGTTAAGGGAAATTTCTTAGACATGTAACTGAATGGGATTTTAATTGTTAATCTGTTTGAAGTACTTAAGATTCCAAATTAAAAACTTCTTTTTCTGTCAGATGATGAGTCCAGAGATATTTGGTTAAAAAACAAAAGCTATGACTACTAGACTGACATTACAAATTCTATATGGGCAATCATTGCCATCTCCCTTTTATTATACTTGTGTCTGTTTCTACCATAAGAGAGCAAGCTCCTTCACATTAGGAATGGTTTTATTTCTCTTTATAACCCTGCATCTAATCTAATCTAGGGTTTCTAACATGGTACATATCTGTTAAAAGCATGTATGTTACTGAATGTGTCGTAAGTCAAACTGTGTCCTAACATACTACTACTGTGTACAGAGGGTGACAACACCATCTAACCAAATCAATCAACCGACCAAAGGCAGGCAGGCAAGGGTCTTTGTCTGTCCTGTGTCACAGTACCAGTATTAAAAAGGAGCCCAACTGACCAACACTTTTGTATGCTGCTAAGCTGACATAGTAATAGATTCAGCAAATATAGTACTGACAACACATCTGTTTTATGTCTTTTTCTTCCAGGAATCGTTAAAAGAAAGTCAAAAAGCAAGGACATGTGTATTTGTAGGTAACTGAAGAAGGTGATAAGAATGTCACATGACCTATTCCTTTACTGCCACGTGGCTCCACCACAAAGAAAGAAACGATGGAATCAACACAGGGTTGACCCCTGCCCCCATAATGATCCTATGCTCCTCTGTAATGTGCCGAACAGGTGGATAAGGCACTTCTTGAGTTTTGGCAAAAGTGCTCACTATATGGGAAATGTAGGAAACTAATTTCAATGCTATTTATACTGTTCACACAGTTTTTCTCATACTCCCATCCTCATCACTTTTTTTTTTTTTTTGATGCTGTGGGTCTAAGTAAGCCTTACCATTATCCTCCACTGTGGCCTCTTTTAAAGAAAATTTCTAAAGAAGCCAGGGATATCCATGGGGATCTGTAGATCAAGAAGCAGTACTGGGAGTCACCCTCTGCCACATGGCTGCAAGGAGCTGGAGAAAACATCTCTGCTCAGGGAAGAGCTGATGCTTAAATGCATGAATAGGACCAAGGATGTCAATGGGCAAAGTCTGCACATCACAAATCAACAGCACGCCTTAGATCATGAGGCTTAGGAGACATGCTGGCCTTGAAATGATCATCCTATGGTCATGAAAAAGTCACAGATAAAAAACCTGGTTTGTAAACTGTCATTTAAGCCCAAGGGCAGACGAAATGGTGTCCTCACCATGAAAGTTCAAGAGTCCCTAACTAGCTTATCTACCACACTGGTTTCAATCCTGCTTTGTCATATTTAAATCTGCAAGACTTTGCTTAGCTTCTATGTGTGAGGCTTTGTTGGATGTACCAGAAAGACCGTTCACCAAGTATCTCCTAGTGCCTACCACTGTGCTCTCGTAACACCCTGCAAGGCAGGCATGACGCCCCTGTTTTGTAGATAAGGAAACTGTGAAGCAGGGAGGTGAAGGTGTTTATCCATGGTCACAGAGCTAGTAAGTGGAGAGCTGGGATTTCAAACTAAGTCCAGCCTGTTTCTTCTTCTGTACTAAGTACTGTGAGGGAAGGATGTGCGCAGGACTCAGGCCTGTGCTCAAGAGACCTACAATTTAGCTTTGTAGAAGAGGTACAAATGATGAAAAGTTAACTAAGTACAATGTAAGTCAGTCAACAATGGAAAGGCCATTGCAAGATTGTATGACTAGCTGTCAACTGAGAAATCCAGACAAGTTCAGGAGACTGCTGAGGGGCCTACTGAGATCTGTGGGGGCCCCTTGAACACTTTTATCAGGACACCTGGAGTGTCTGCTCTCAGTCAAGGGTTGCTTTGATATGATGGCTACTTCCTGAGCTGCCACAACAGTCCCTCCCAGGAAATCATCTCTGGTCTACTTAAGGTAGTAGTAATTGCTCCAGATACACAAAACAGAAATCATGTGCCCTTCATACCTGCCAGCAAGTATTACAACAGAGGCTTCTTAAATACTGGTTTAGCCTCCATCTTGAGAAGCTGGTGCTGTCTACCCATTTTCAGGAACAATTTACATTCATTAACTATACTCAGAAGGCAAATATTCAGGTACCAGTGTAAAGCTGTATGTTCATGAAACTGTGACCACAGGTCTGCATTGTTACTTACTTTTTTGTTCTTAACAAATAAGGCCCAGGTAATGGGAAAAAATAAGAGGGAATGGGAGGTGGAGAATCATACACAAAACTAACAACCCCTAAAAATGGTATTTTAAAAACTAATGATCATAAAGTTAAAATTGAATGAAGTGCTTAGAAATAGCAGAATAGTTCCAATTCACTGATGTTAATGGAGTTGTGTCCCTCTGCTCTAAGGAAAGCAGACTCATCTAGGCTAAAATCCACTGGTCAGCAGTAGCCTCAAGGTATAAGAAACAAATGCAAAATACGGTATCAGGGACAACTTGGGATAACAGTCTTGCATTTTGAATGAAAATATTTTGAATGCCTCATTTTGAAGAATATTTTTTCATCGCACTTAAATATGTAATTACCTGGTCTCATACTGTGCAATACTCATTCTGATACAGATGAGATGGTATCACACACTGGAGGCAGACTACAGTGTGTCATGTCGGGCTGAGACCTGGGAGAGGGCTGGAAGTAACCCCTCAACCTCCCACTACTGCTTCCTAGGAGGTGATGACCTCAGCTAGCAGTTGTCACATATGAGTTGCTTCAATCCTGAAAGAAATAAGACCAGGCTACCGCGTCTGATGGTGCAAGTCAACATGCCGACAATGTGTTGAAATTCGACCCGCTGTAACTATGATCCTTAACCCTTTATTCCATTTGGTTCTAACATATCATCTCTATGCTGTAAGGAAGATGGGCTGATGAAAACTCAACTGGTAGAGAAAGTTTGGGCGCTGTTTGCAGAGCTGGGGAGCTCAGTGTTTCATGAGATATCCATTTTGCTGCAGGACAGAGCTTATGGCAATACTTATAGTAGTTCCATCTCCGGACTATGACAGGGATGAGGTAGCTGGCCTTCAGGCATTTACTGAAAATAGGGTTTGAGAATTTTTGAGACTTGGAACATCATTCTCTAGTTAAGCCACATGATTAAGGTGTTGCCAGTTGGTTTTGGCAGTATGTACGCATGGCTGTAGCATTGAGCCCATCTGCAGAAGGCTGATCAGATGAATCCAGAGGACAGGTGACTGCTCCCTGGGAGAGGACTGGCATGCTTCTCAAGGTCCCTTAATCACAACTTTACAAAAAAGGGAAACTTACACCTTCAGCAACACCATGTACACTTTCCTGATGAAGCTGAATCTCTTACACACTGCAGGAACCAGGAAGATAAAGGTAATGAACCCATGCCCAAAGGCTTTTTAAAACTCTAGACCACTGACAACCCCTCTGGGTTGTATTTGCACAGCAAGGTACTTATCAGATGATGAAAGCAATGCTGGTGACA